TCTCTCTCTCTCTCTCTCTCTCTCTCTCTCTCTCTCTCTCTCTCTCTCTCTCTCTCTCTCTCTCTCTGTGTGTGTGTGTGTGTGTGTGTGTATATGATGTCACAAAATTATCAGAGCGCAAAAGCGAAAAGAAAACAGAAGAAAACAGAAGAAAACAAAGAAAAATAAATTCATTTTTTTATCTTCTCTGTGTGTGTATATATATTTCCCCTCCTCCCCCCCTGCATTCCTCTTACCCTCTCTTTCCCGCGAACCCCCTGGGGTACAGGCATGGGAGCTCACAAGCAGGACATGGGAGCTCATATGCAGGACATGGAAGCTCACACGCAGGACAAGAACCCAAGGACAAAGAACTTTATTGCCTCTTCCCAAAACAAAAAAAAAGAACGAGATTACTCTCCTCTTCCAAAACAAAGGAACCAAGAAAAAAGAAAAAAGAAAAAAGAAAAAAAGAAAAAAAGAATGAGAGAACTCGCCTTTTCTTGGGCGTCGGACTTCGACTCCTCGACGAGCTTCGGCTGGACCGCGAAGTTGATGTTGACGTCACCGACCGAGATCGGGATCGCGATCGGGAGGGAGAAGAAGACTCCGTATAGGACGAAGAGCCGGTGTCTGATCGCGACAGGGATTTCGATGCAGAAGGCGAACGGGATCTCGAAGGGCGGGCCATTGTCTGTGTCCCCTGTCCCGACTTGTCAGCAAAAGTCTAATCACCCAAACGCTCAACTCTGTCCCTTCTTTTGTCTTCCTCTCACACGTTCCTACCCCCTCCTCTTCCTCCTCCTCCTCCTCCTCCTCTTCCTCCTCCTCCTCCTGCTCCTCCCAACACCCACCCCCCTCCTCCTATCTACTCCTCCCTCTCCCTCTCCCTCCAACCCACGCGTATTCGCATGCTGATAGATTTTGCTCACTCCATCCGGATCCTCCTTTCCTCAACGAACTATTTCGCTCCCATACATCATCACCCTAATTACTCCGTGATTAGTCCACAAAATCCGTTACCAACGTAACGGGTGGAATAACGGAATCACTGATGAGTCACTCTAATTAGTCGGTATCTAATCAATCGGTATCTACTTAGTCGGTATATAATTAGTCGGTTCCGTCGCTACGGGTGGAATAACGGAATCACTGACGAGTCACTCTAATTAGTCGGTATAATCACTGATTACCCACTCGCTACCCACTAAACGGAATGCAAACGGAATCACTGATCACCCACCCGCTCCTTTGACTTCTTGAATAACGGCTTACCTCAGCCGCGAACAGAACAGACACTTGTTAACACGTTTCCAACGACGAGTAATCGCAAGAGAGGGAACGAAGAGAAAGCGTGCAAGCAAAACGGGGAGAGGGGGGGGGGAGGCGAGGGGGGGGGGGGGGGGGGGGGGGGGGGGGTCAGGTGTAATCCAGGAATCAATCAACGAGAGTATAGTCAACGTGCGCCGCCGCCAGCGAAACTGCCACATCAGCACGCCGTTGCCCCCAGCCAGACTGCCACATCACCGCACCGCGCACCGCCGCCGCCGCCAGCAATGACATCGATAACGAGACGAAGGCAGAGCTAGCGAGTCCGACACGTACTCACTCTCTCTCTCTCTCTCTCTCTCTCTCTGTCTGTCTGTATGTGTGTGTGCGTATGTTTTCGAGTCTGTAACCAATCTACGGCTAACGATGGTGCAGTCCTCCTCCACTCCCTGTGGACGTAACTGCAGGCGAAGGTAGAAAGACCATAGCAGCTGTGACGACAAGCAGAGGGAGGGGCAATGCGGATCTGGGGCCACTGTCAACACCGCAGCATGTTCAATTCTCAGAGCAGCGCCACACCACTCTCGAAAAGTGCAAAATGAGAATGAACTTCCCGCGAGAACATGCCCAGATACATCCGCCACATTTTTCGTCTTTTTCACAGTTCTAGAGTGGTGTGGCGAGGCCCCCACTCCCATCAGTCTCTCAGCAAACCCCACCCAACCCCACCCCACGGAACCCAGGGCAAGGTCCCACTTGCACGGATTAAGAGATCGTGGCCGTTGATCTTTGCTATCTACGGTCAATATCGCTTAATTCGTGTAAGTGGGACCTACTGTAGCCCCCAGAGAGCGAAGCAAGGTCCCACTTGCACGGTGATTAAGAGATTCTGGCCGTTGATCTTTGCTATCTAAAATGAATGTATACATGTTTTATTTCCGGCCAGATACGGCCAAAATGAGGTTGCGTTGTGTTCGGGGGAAGACGGTAGCCCCGGGAGGGAGGAGAAAACCAAAAACACCCGAAAAAAACACACCGCCGCCGGCCCCAACCCGGGGCAAGGTCCCACTGGCACGGATTACGAGATTCTGGCCGTTGATATTGGCTATCTACGGTCAATATCGCTTAATTCGTGTAAGTGGGACCTAGCTCCCGCACTGAGCGCGATCCCGCGCAGCGGCCGCACAGCCCCCGCGCAAACGGCGGGCTGCGATCTCAGGCCTTGGGCAAAGATGTTTGTTTTATTTTATTTTTTGGGGGGACTTGGGCAAAGATGCAAACCCAATACCTTTCTCGGCCTTTTGGCTAAGATCAGGTGTAGTATCTGTTCTGATCAGTTTAAACCACCAGTACCTCTGGCCACATGATATTAAATTAAGCCGAGGCTTGCCAAGGCTGCCCCTCAAGCCGAACGCAGAAGCTGGTTGATGGTGTTGGAGTACCTGTTGCAGCAGGAGCTTTCCCTTGCACGAAAGGAAGATGTCTGGTGCTGTGTTTTTATGCACTCATTTGCCCGCAGACAGCTGCCTTCGCCGGTGGCCAAGGGATTATGGACAGCCTGGGCAAAGCTGCTCACGCCCCTGCGAACGGAACCAGTAACGAAGGAGGAGGTGCTTGGCCAAATTCTCTTTGATAATAAGGACATTCGACATAGCCAAGGCCTCCCCTTTGAGGCAACATCCGCGCCTGGCAAATTCGGAAGAAGATGGGTGGAATGTGGGGTGGTGAGGGTACGGGATCTTTGGGACGAAGAGCAGGATGATTGGATCTCGGAGTCTCGGCTAATGCAGAAACTGGGTCGTCTCCCATTGGTTGCTGGGAGGAGGCAACAGCTTTGTGATGGAATCCCGGCACACTTGCATGATCTGCTGCAGTCTCGGAATCCAGTGGTGGGTCAATGATACCAAGATCCGCAGGAACCGGAGAGGGGTAGCATAATACAAATAATGGGGTATCAAGACGCCAACAGTTGGCGGGCACAGAAGTGGAGTATAAGTGCGGATCCGGCTCAAGCAGCCATACTCCAGCTCCAAGGGGAGATCGTGGTAGAGCTTCAACAACCTTTGCAGCAAATACGTGTGCATACTTAAACGAAGCTTGGCATCACTACACATGCGCTGCTTCATCAGGGACTCCCTCTAAGAGAGCTCAGAATTGACCCACTGGGTTGGTCTTGGGAACCCCAGCCAGGGCAAGGGACAATTCTGCCACATTATACTTCCGCCTTGGGTAGACAGCTGCAAGATAAGGGAATTAACCTCCCATCGACTGTGGCTGATCTACTGAACAGGTTGAGAGGCGATGTCCAGCCAATTACGCGACCGGATATGAAGACACTCTGGGCTCAGTTGACTGTCATGCCCTCTCAGAAGCTCGCGGGCGTCCTATGGCTCCTTTCTCATGCGGCAGTACCCACCTCAGCTTGGCTTTTTGAAGGAGGGATGGATATTGACACGAAATGTAAGAGGTGTGGGGGTAGGGAGGAGGAAACCCTCCATCACCTGTTCTGGGCATGTCCAGCTTCAAAGAGGTTGTGGCAGTGGTGGGAACACCACTGGCTCTGATTTGTTGGCCCAATCCTGTCATGGGATGAGACCTGGGCTCTTCATGGGCGTATTCCGGCTACCTGGTTCAAGGGTAAAGGCAGAGGCTATGTGGCTCAGGCCATCAGATCAATTTTAATCTGGGTCATATGGGAGGATCGCAACAATATCCTTTTCCGCCAGCAATGGACAAGTGACATCGCCCTCCTGGCCAAGGTCAAAGCATGGATTAGAACTATGATACGGGTTGATTGGACCAGGAAGGCCAGCAGAGGTCGCACACCACGAGGTAGGCATTGGTTTCTGGTTACATGGGCATGGGACAATCAATTAGCAGCGGTTACATTGGAGGGGGACTTGGTCATCTCACCTTGGCTGTTTTCTTAATTCTTAATCTATTCCTTCGTCTTTCTTCTTCTTCCCTCTTCCTTGTCTTTTTCCTCTTCCTAATCCTTCCTCCTTCTGTGAACCAGGGCACTCGGTTTTGTAGACAACCGCAGTTGGCTACCTAGGGTAGGGAGGGTAGGAGAGTGCCTAGGTTTTAGTTTAGGAGCCTGTAACGGTTCCTCGCGGCTGTACTAAGCCGAGTCCATGTCGGCTTAGGCCTGTGCAACTCAGAGTAGAATGGTAAGCCGTTCATGTGGGTTGAGGATCTAGTTTAGATGGGATAGGGAGAGGAGTGGTAAGTGTGAGAAGGCATATCAGTAGTGCACGATAACAGGTTTGCGATAATTAGGAGCGTCACGTGAAGTTTTCCGTGTGTTAGGATAGAGCTTTGTACAGCCACTTCCTATCAGATCTCCCTTCTGGGGGTGGCTTCAGACTAGGCGGTCCTGCTCACGTTGGTGACAGTAAGCTAAACCGACGGATGCTGCCGGGATAACTCCGGGTTGATATGTGAGGTCCCCGGCCTCAAATTCTCGTTTTGGAATATAATGTAAGAAGCTTTGACGAAAAAAAATAAAATAAAATAAATCAGGGTTACGGAGGGGTCATATGGGTAGGCTTGCTTGCTCGACCCGTCCAGCGTCGCCTTCATATTGCACTGCAGCAAAGCATGGTGCGGCCCACTCCCCCCTGGGGCAACAAAAAAAAAAAAAAAAAAAAAAAAAAAAATGCAAACCCCGCCCGAACGGCTTTCGGACTACCGCCGTACTGCCGATAGCGGTAGCTCCGCTACTCTCCAAACATATGTTGTTGTGGAAACTGGTTTGGATCGTGTATCTTCATTCAGAAGTTGGAAAGATACGCGGTGCATGTTTTGTCTCGTTCACCTTGGCCAGTGGCTCAGAGATGGGTTGGCCTCGCCACTCGTCTGAACTGAAAAGCACAAACACACTCTGTCCAGGTTTTACGTACTTCCCATTTTAAACATTTAGCGAGTAGTGTTGCGAGGCCTCATTTGGTAGCATGTTGTGGATTACACGTAGCCCTGTCGTCCGGTTCCGAACAACGGTCCGTTGGGTTTGGGAAAGCGTTGGACCCGAAAACGTTGGGCGTTCGGGCTGTTCAGAAGCTAAAATTGTAATAATTTTAGCGCGCACCACTGCATAATTGACTTATACCATGAAAGCATGGGTGAGCAGCCCGTAGTTCGTTTGTTGATGTCGTTTGTCTTGTTTGCTATACACCCAAGAGTGTCTGTGTGTGTGCGCGTGTGTATGTGAGAGAGTGAAAATGTGTGTGTGTGTGTGTGTATGAGAGGGTGTGTGTGTATGCACGAGCGAGCGAGTGAGAGAGAGAGAGAGAGAGAGGAGTAGGCGAATTGAAATTGAAACGTGAGCGTGATTGTATAAGTGAGAAAGAGAGAGAGAGAGAGAGAGAGAGAGAGAATTGCTCCGTCTCTGTATCTGGCGCAGCAAGAAGTCCAAATTTAGAAAAAACCTCTCGTGGAAGGGAGCACTCGTTGGGGGGGAGTGGGCTGGCGGCGCCTGAAAAGTGCAGGTCTGCGTCGCTCCGTTTTGACTTTTCAACCTCCAAGCCCTGATGCTCGTGCCTCTTCGTTTTTTTCCCATCTCACGACCTCTCCAAAATAGCGGTCTTTCGTGTGCCACACCCCTTCGCTAAGCCCTTACACAAAATGACCACCCTCCCAAACGACGGACGTTGAACGTTGAAGGACTCGTGGGCATAAAATGTAACCCTGACGGGTTGCGAACATTCTGAACGTATTT